ATGACAAACATTGACCTCAAGTTACTCAGATAGCGCGATCCGCCCTCCGACGGGTGCATAACGTAAAAAAATTAGAACAGACAAGACACACAGTCCGGTATACCCCGTTTGTTACTCAGTTTTCTGGGAACCAGCGGATGTTTGTTTACGCAACAGTTGTTTTGCGATAATTGTTCCACCACACAAATATTGAGACGCTCCAGGCAGGTATCTGAAAATACTTTTTAAGCAGTTCGCGTTGGAAAGTGACGGAAAAATTGTCACTTTGCTCGTGGAAGTTTTTCGCTTTCTAGTTGTATCAGTCAAATGTTCTCGACAATGATCAGACTTACGTCCATGGGCACATGCAAGCCACACTTTCCAAACCGTCCTTTGAAAACCCTTTGATGATTTTAACCACAATTTTTACGTAAAACTCCTAGTACACGTCCATGAAGATTAACTGTACTCGCTAAAGCTTATACGCACTCACATTCCTTGCCTGTAGGCGGTGGCTCAAACATCTACGCAGTATGTATTAAGATGTTTATAACGGGAGTCAAAATTTGGATGCTGGGTCATCAAGTTTAGTAAAAATTGGAAAAAGTTTAAAACGAGAATTGTTGCCTTATCGGTTGCCGCCTCTTGTTTATACATGTGATTTTTATTGCCACGCACCTTTGGTCGTGTGTGTCTTTGGAGCAAAACTGAAAGAAGCGATCAGAAAGAAGGCTATGCAAATTTGGGCTACACTCATAATAACTTTTTTGCAAGGTACGCTAAGTGTGGTGAGGTGAGAACTAAAAGGTTATTACAGTTTTTTATTGCACTATTATTGCCCACCTTTATCGCACTGTTATTGCCTACCTTTTTATCTCACTCTATAGGCATTGTATTTGTAAGATAATTATGAGTGCTATTCTTGAAGATGACGCTATGAGTGTATAAGAGCAAGGTGAATGCCAGGGTTTTTAAACCGTACTTATCTATCTGTCTGTCTCCGTAAGTAACGCTACAAGTACCACTAACATCGTAAAAAGTCCAAATAGTCGTGTAGCTCCTGTCTATAAGAATATCGCCAGGTTTACCGTACACGTCGCACTAGGTGCGATGTAGAATGTCCATGAGCAACGCTGGATGCTCCTTTCACTTTACAATATGCGCACATGACTAACGCCAGGTGTAACTTACACATCGAGATAAGTGCAATGTAGTGTGTCCGTGAGCAGCGCGGAATTTGCCTTACACGTTGTAGAAAGTGCAATGTAGTCCGTCATGTCCATTTGCATGTGTATCTAAATAAACGCTAGTTCTACAAGTGACCGAGCGCAGGGTAGTTAAACACACAGAGCTTTATTTCGAACTGATCAGCTATAGCAATCGAGATTGTAACGGAGTGAGTCCTTTACATGGTATTTCACATCAGGCATATCAAGTTTGGGTGTTTTTAAGGCATCGCATTCTTACAATATCACCTCGATAGGTGATATTGTGATGCAGAAGTCATAGTCGATATAGAGCAATGATATAAACCAACAAAGCCGAGCCGTGACGAAAGAACGCAATGGGAGGTGAGCATATAGATAACACATATGTTTGTATGTTGTAATAATTCTATAGAGAAAACAAAATAAATATTGTTGGCAGGAGATTGAATATCCAAAAACAATTCTAGTTTTTACCCTCACCTTGCGTTGAAACCTTCCTCTGCGCGTACGTGTACGTGAGATTACGAGGCGCCTGATAACCCCGCATTTAAAGTAAATAGCTAGTAGATCGGTGCTACGCTACAGCGAGCTCCAAAGCTTGCTTATCCTTCTTATCGTTTACTAAATGGATGTCGATGTAGCAAGTAGGAGGTGCCTACCCAGCCAGTCACTTGTCAAGGCTGTCTCGGCCATGGATAGCACCACGCGTACGTCCAGTAAGATTCAGAATCCAGTCACGTACGTCAAATCTCATCTGCTTGATCAACGTCACGACTTATGTTGTGGGCGTATTCGGAACCCGTAACATCTTTCGGAGCACGGATAGAACCGTTTCTTGTAATTCTGCCGATGTGTATAATACCGCTGATGTGTATGATACCGCCAATGTTAGTGCTTAAAATGAGCATCAGGCGTCAGCTCAGTACATACTTTACACGAGATGAAAGAGCAGCTGCTCCACTTCGTGCCATACATAAAAACATACTTTGTCACGGAATTGATTACTCAAGAAGAATGTGAACAAACTCATTCGAGTACCGACAGAGTGTCACCGATTTGTGTACAAATGTTTAGACACGTCTATAACATACTGCTGCACCATACTTCCGTACGTTAGCCTTGATAGATCAACCGCCAAGTGTGGACATCGATAAGCGATCACCGATGGTTACAAATCTGAGGATGCTCTCAATATCGACGAGACAGGACATTTATGTAGGACACTGTCCATCCCGTCAATTGTCATTGCGAGTATCAGCGACGAAGGAAAAGCACTAAGCTCGAACTACAGCCTAATCGTGCTACAACATGGTAGGCTTTAAGCGCATGGCATCATTTATTACCGACGAAATCACAATACCTCTGTGCTGTGCGGTCTTACCTTTGACCGGCTCGCGCTCGAATACTACTGAACGTGGGAGCATGGTGAAGCGCGTCGTATTTTATGAGTCCTCACCAATTAAACTTGCGTACGAAAGGAAGACCGCCGATACATCTCCTACCGTCACCACTATGCTTGCAAACGCGATCATATTATCCTGCAAAACAAGACTTGGAAGGAGCTGCATCATTTCTTACTGGTATCGGAACCTTTCATCACAAATGCAAGGAGCTGGTCAAACACTGTGTCATTGACAAGCTGGAGGCTGACGCGCCCGTCCCTCGATTGAAAGCTTTCACATAATTGGACTTCACGATCGATGAGTGAGAGTCACGGTTAAACACGACCACAAGACCACTGATGTCGGAACTTCGATCGACTCACGGACAGCGTACCGGCTCTCATGGAAACAAGGCTAGTTTTTGATTACTTTGACGATGACGGCGATATACCAGAGCCTATGTTTCTTGCCCTCTGTATTGTCCTTTGTGAATTGCAGTACAAGTGCTCATGCGGAGAGCCCGCACAAAGGAGCAAAACAGCGATGCAAATGATACATGTTGGTTTTTAACGATAGTACGGGTAATGAGGATGTCCTTTCAGTCGTGGTGACCTTGTCGTATGCTTGCAGCTCATTTTGACCACATCTCACAGGAAGTAGTAAGGTTTAAAGATTGTGGCAATCGTGGAATAGCCACGATCGATGACGCAATTGAACCTGCAGCAGCAAGAGCTTTTCGCTCCTGTTTTTATAGACATTCAATATCAAGTTCATGATTCGATATGTTTGCACATACGCGCACTAGATCGTCTCTTTTTCAAGGCCTCCTAAATGCTGTCTCATTACGGCGACGCGGCGTGTTGACGAGGTAACCTAATCGCTATATTTGGAACGCATACCGAACAAGATGTCTGCTGGTCTCCGTTGAGGAAAGATTGTCAGCAATAAGTTATTACAACGGTCCATACTTCTCGACCGCAACGCTACCTCCCAGACTCACTGGCTAGCGATTAAGTCGTTATAATCGACATTTTTGCCTATCGCGTATCGGCGGACCACGTGAGGACGTCTTACTTCAATATTCCTGCATCAGTACGTAGTGGCAACGAGGTGCTAAACTGCACGATATAAAAATCGTGAATCTTGAGCGCAGGGGTGTATGTATACACGTCGTGTGTTCGACACGTTCATGCACTCGGGGGTGAAACGCATCATGCGCTATTCAGTCGCTTTAGTATTGACGGAGACAAATATGGCATCCGATCTTCCTCAATTGGCGTCAATCAGCAGAAAGAATCGATTGTGGTTATAAACAATAGTGCGATCAATCTATGTGCGGAGGTGATCCATCGTGTCAACCAAGAGCATGGTCTGTACCTTGCTCGTCGTCAAATATGACGGCGACCCGATGCAACGTTTATTCAGTCACATCAAAGCAGATCAAGTGACTGGCAGAAGGATACACGATCTGGATGTATGGGCGGCAGCACTGCTTCCTTCTTTACTCATGTGAAGTATTCGACAACTACTCTGGTCATTGATTCGTATGTATCGGTAGGGTGCATGTCTCATAGCGACACAAGATCGTATACACAGCGGATGTCATTTATGGAGTATGTGAGAGCTTTATCTACACAATGTGATCACACATTGCACCGGTCTCCTTGGGCTGCCGATTAAATGACGAGTATATGCACATTTAAATCGACACACTGCGTATGGCTCAAAACCAGGGCGAGCTAAAAGGACGAGAGCACACAAACAAGCAAAAGAAGCGCATGTCCATTGTAAGCATACATTTGACCGATGTCGAGAATATATTGTACCCAGCTCGTCGCTTATTATCCCGGACATTGCTTCCAGCTGGCCAAGCGACAAGTTGAGCTTTCAGTACCAGATGAGATGGCATAATTTTACTTTGTTGCACGTGTATTACTTTCGGACTTGGCAGGTGAAGCTGGCCTAGCAGAAACGGTGGATTTGGAGGTCTCTTGCTGTCAGTACACAAAACGATTTCCTACCATCGTCATCATAGCCGTTCGTGTCTTCAAGTTTTGGGCTTGCTAGCGCTGCAATCGCTGACAAGCCGAGTCGATAGGCGTCGGCCCTTTCGTGACCTTACGCCAGAGTAAATTTGCTCGAACCTTTGTCATCACACGCTGTTCGAGCAAAGACAGAGTTTCCCCTTGATACTATTGTTCAGACTGTGTCTCGGCAACCTTGTATGGTCCGCGACTTCCATCCAAATTGCAGTACGGACGCCAAACGAGTATGTGCTGAGGCCACAACCAGCAGGTTACCAAATATCACCTCAGTATATGATCAAGATACGGTGAAGCTAGCAGTCCTCATCTATTGACGCGAGGTTACCCCCATTACACCCTAGGTGCTCTCTCGTCCTCCTTTCGTCGTCTTGATCCCTTGTTTGCTCTTAAATAGTCGTGCATTCCACCGGCTTTTCCTCAAACGGAGATGCTACTACGATACCCCACGCCACTTCTGCTGGTTCCGTCACCTCTGCTTCGAACGTCCACGCAAATCGTGTATTGATCACCCGTCGATCGCCCAAGCCCTTCTTTTCCCCGTCTTCTCCCAGCAGCACTCGCAAGTGCTCTGTGACGTCGTACTGCACTCGGATCGTCATCCACTCACGCATGACCTGCTCGTCAACTCGTTCGCGCGTGTATTCCACGGCTTCTAGAGCTGTCCCATTGATACAAAGGTGCTCCAAGAAAGAGGAAGACGGCAAAGACGCCGGCAAACCTGCCTCAATTGCCTGTTGACTCGATCTTTTCACAACTACTGAAGGTTTTTGACCGAGAATCCCGAGGCTCTCGGACGTCGCCACTTGCTCCCAGAACCTCTTCATCTCGTCCGACTCGCGCATGTAGAGTCTCGAGAGCACGACATGAGCAACTTGCTCTGCAGCCAGCACAAACTCGGGCAAATCCACGTGCCCGTTCATTGGGAACTTGGACAGCACGTACATGGCGCTCCGTGCTTCATCCGATGTCTGGGACGCGAAGATCTGACGCGGTGTGTCGCGAATGTAACGCGTGAGCTGCGGCAAGCCACGGAACACGCGGCTGGCGATCCCAATACCTCGTAGAGAGAAGTACTCGGACTCGATCCCAAACCAGTCGCGCGACTTGCTCGTGGAGAACAGGCGACGGATAGTCGCTGGTCGACGCAGGAACGGGAGACACGGGACTCGCAGCATTGGCCGTCGTAACGGCTTGAATAAATAACTTCGCGTGTCAAACGTGACGAAGGCTGGCGATATGGGTACACATGTGTCCGGTTGGTATCGCCCCTTGCTGTTGTCAAGCTGGACGGGGTCCATGCTGAACACTTTGAGTAAATGAAAGACATCGTGATTGGTTCAGATTGGTAGTGGCTGTAAAATCGAGATGGAGAGGCAATCATTTTATACGAGTCTTAAGCAACGAAAGTACACGCAACTAAAGCACAAGTCACCAACGAGCTAAAACGACCTCTCCGTGTATTATTGTGCTTCCCAGCTGCTTGTAAGTTTGAGAAAGCTGCGTGGATTGAGATCAATCTGACTAATTTTTGGGTTAAAACAGCTGGAAAAGCATAATCTGAAGCTTTTGTCCCGTCTTGTAATGTGTGTGGGCTAAGGCATCCGTCGTCGAATGACTGCCCATAGCTAGGGTCAGCACCGACAATCCTTCGGGTCTGATTTAGCTTTTCTGTGCAAGGGAAAAAGTCAGTAGTTACACACTTGCAGTACACGTAAGCACAAGAATATGATGACAACTTTATGCAGGATCCATGACAAGTAAATACTCATGTGTCGTCTTGTCGGGTGTCAAGAGGATGCATGCGGTATTGTACTAGAAACTGACCGGGATGAGGTTGCCATGTACCCAAGCCCGGTACAGCTTATCGACAGTCAATATTGTGTGAATGCTGGCAAGTAGGTAGTATAGCAGTGCGAGGTGGGAATGGTCACTACACGATCGTTGCAGTTGGTGCATAAGAGCTTCAAAAATCGAGTACAGAAGTCGATGGAGCAACGCATACAGCAGCATGTCTAATGGGTCACCATCATTCCACTTCTCTGATCATACAGAGTGAAACGAAACCAGTCACACAAAAGGTCTGCTAAAACAACAACTATACTTCCCAAACAGCTACTCTTTAAAAGCTGTCCCTGCACGCACCACCACACACAAATTCACTTGCCAACTCCATCCATTTAGGCCCTTACAAAACCAACGAGGCATATCGTGGCTAGTCTTGTAATTTCCACATTCAGCGTCCCTCGTTTTGTAGACTCTCTCGCTCGCGTCCCAGCCCGCGCCATGCAAGCGGTCCTCAGCCGCGTGCACCGCATCGTAGTCCCGCCGCCCGACGCGACAGAAGCCGCTGATGACCAGGAGCTCACGACCATCGCCATCTCCTCACCACGTCCGTCCTCTTTACCCCCCGCTCTCCCATGCGACGTAGAAGCGACGATCGCACGGACCGTCGAGCGGTTACAATTCGCCACACTATTAACGGAACGGAAGCAGGCGGTGCGTGCTCTCCATTCATTGGCCCAGCAGCTGCAATTGGATGAAATTCAACACGGCCATAAGAGCACTACATTGGAACCTACAGTTGGAGAGCAGGCGCTCGGCCTCGCGGCCGTGCCGGCGGTACTCGACGCCCTCGTGTCGGACCCTCGGGACACGGAGCTAATGGAGACGCTGCTCGAGTTTCTGCAGTCAATTGTGACTCGGGTGCCTGCAGCCGCTGTGTTGGTGTTAACGCAACCTAACGGGGATGTTGCGGCACAATGGGGCATGCCGACGTGCCTTATGTTGCTCCAAGACCCCTCACCGTGGATCCGAGGCCCTGCCGTGTCGCTGGTCAAGGCCTTGCAAGAGGCAGCACCAGGAGAATTTACCAAGTCTGTTTTACAGTGCAAAGAGGGACTTCGGAGACTTTTGGAGGTGGTCGAAGACCGACGGGAACATATTCGAGACACGGCGTTGGCCGTGCTTGGCCAATTGACAGGACGGGACAAGAACGTGCAACAGTTTCTGGCGTTTGAAGAGGGATTTGCAAGACTGTTTCAGATTATGGAAGCCGAAGGGTTAGCGGACTCTACGGGTGCGAGCCTCGCGAGCTCGGTGGTCGCTGACTGTCTGCATATTGTCAATAATATGCTGCGGGATAACCTGATGACGCAGACACTGTTCCTTGAGATGACGTACCTGGAATCGCACGTGCCACGACTACTGACGGTATTAGGGAGTGAGGAACAACAACACAAAGGAGAAGATGCTGCGACGCTGGAACAAAAAAGACGTGTGCTGAGACTTGGGTTGCAACTTGTGCGTATCCTCCTAGCAGGACTTTATGAAGGTGTCAATGATTCAATGCTGGATGAAATGGCGCAGCGGGATCGTGCTCGGAAGAATCAAGAGCTGGCGAGGATACAAAGTCTTGTGGCTCGACAAGAGGTGCTTATGAGTGCTCTGGGTGAACTGATCTGCTGTTGCAATGGTACAATGATGGATGTGCGGCTACAGGCTCTAGACTTGCTGCTACTGGTGAGTGAGCGCAACGGTGGTGCTCAGATGATATTGGTGAACTTGTACGCAATGCCTTCGGGGCGTAACGTTCTCGCGGACCTTGTTGGTCTTGACGCAGACATTGGTCGTGATGACTCGCCCGTGTCTGCTGCGGCATCAGCTCTCTTGGACGCACTTTTTAGTGACAATGAGGGTGCGCGTATGGCTGTGCTGCAGCATGTTCAGACGCCGCCCCCGCAAGCGGTCTCGTTGGAAGGATATAGCACTGGCAGGAGCAGCGAGTCCTCTTCGATTCCTTTTTCGGCTGGCCGTGTCTTGTTCGATGCGTTTGTCATCAATACCGAATCTATTGTACAGTGCGGCGATCGAGACGACGCTAGGACGCTGAATCTAAAGCTTGTCACCGCTTGGAAAGCCAGTCATCGGCTGACAAATTTGCTATTGGATAGCTCCTACTGTAAAGAACTTGCTCTCCGAGTTCCAGCAAATTACACTGACCCACAGGCGCGTGCTGTTGCTGGTGGCCTTTTCTTATCGCGATGCGTGCAGTTGTTGCGAATAGCGCCGGATAATAAATTGAGCTCCGTGGTTCAGTCGATTGTATTCCAGGCCAAATTGTCAGTGCTAATACTGCTCATCCACTGGTGCCATCGCTGTCCGAAGGCTGTACGTGAAATTGTGGGCTCCGTTGCTAACTTATCGGTGCTCATGGATGTCCTTTCGGTGCAGCAAATTTCAACATCGTCCCGGAGTGCTGCAGAGACGACACAGTTGCGGGGTCTTGTTGCACTACTACTGGGGTGTTGCTTGGAATTCTTACGGGACGAGGAGGAGGAGAATATCGCGGAAATGGCAAGTGCAGCAGTGACGGCAGCCGCGCCAAAAGGCGAAATGGGATTGCAGATGACGCGAGACCAAATTCTCCAGATGACCAGTAACCGCGTCGGACTAGAGACGTTCACGAACGCATTGGTTCAGTTCCAGCAAACTGCAGCAATCTTGGCATGTGCTCGCGCAAGCGCAACGCAGAGTTCACGAGTCCTACTGACTTGCCGTGCTGAATACGATATTATCGACGTCGCGGACGCTGACGATGTGGGTGGAGATTTGGATGACGACGGCAAAGCCCGTTACTTGTTTATGCTGTACGAGCGAGCCTTCACAGAATTTTATCGATCAATAGCTGAGCAGATACAGAAGCGTGTCATCGCGATGTATACTGACTTTTGTGATGGCGGGTCTTTGCGCTCTGCTGATGGGGACTCTATCGTTTCGACTCCTGCTAGTGCCTACCAAGACCTTATTCGTATGCAAGACAAACAGATTCATGATCTGCAACGTCAAGTGGAAGAATTGAAGCGCCGCGAAATGGACCAAGGATGCCAGGGCGACGTTTCTTCTACCCCGCTACAGATACAAGGAAGCTTTGTGAGAAACCAAATGGCTCCTCTGCGCGAACAACTCGAGCACGAGAGTACAGGTTTGGAGGACAAAAATAACAGTATATTGGAGCCGGCGATCGAAATGGCGACTCGTATGGATGAACTTGCTTTGGTATCCGAGCAGCCTGGAGCAGAACGGCGACAAAGAAAAAACGAACCCATTCCCGTTTGCTCATCAGCGGAGGACGTGCAATCTGCTTCGGTGTCGCACGAGGTTTTACTAGCACATCTTGCAAAAGTGCAGGCTGAACTAGATGCAGGACGTGAGGCCAACCAGCGGTCATATATTGCGGATGCTACTTCTCAAGGCGCGACAGCTAGCCATTCTGTCCGTAACGAAAGCGAAGATGGATTTGTAAGTGCTCAATGCTTGAAACTGCTTGAAGAGCTTCATGTGGAATGCGAGCGCAAGGATAGAGAGTTAGTCGAGTGCAAGCAGATGCTCGAGGCGCTTGTCAAAGATCAGGTACATGCCAAGAATGAAAATGAACGCTTGAAGGCGGAGCTGGCGGGGGCATTGTTGAAGTCTGCACAAGTTCGGGAAGTAGAAGGAAATGAATACGAAGACGTCATCGATAATCTTACGGCAGACAAGGCGCGTTTAGAAAGTCGTGTTGAAGAGCTCGAAGTTGCAACGCGTGCCGTCTACGAAACTGACCAAGAGGTGCTCCACCAACGAATACAGGAAATGGAGCAAGAACGCCGGATGACGCTCCCAACTTTACGTGAGACTGCGTTACTCAGCAACGATACAGTTAACACGAGAGTGTCTGCGAATGAAGAACCCGGAGAGGTTGTTTTCGACAATCACCGCTCAAAGGAGCTCACGCCTTCCCAACTTGAAGAGTTAGACTTGTTGCGTGCTCGTGTATTGGACTTGGAGATGGTAGCAAAAGAACGCGAAGGCTGGGTGAAGAATGCCTTGATCGTGCAGGCTCAAGCGACAGAGTCTGATGATCAGGCGCGACGTGACAAGGAAAGACACGATGCGACTGTGAAAGAACTAAGGGACGAGCTCGCTCGGGCTCTTATTGAGAAGAAAGATGTTGAGTGCAAGGCAAAGGCTGCTGTAACAGAACTTGAGAATGAGAAGGCGCAACTACTTTTCGCGAAGGTGGAGCTGGAAAAGAAGCTGGGGTCTTGTCATCCGGTTGAAGACGCGAGCCAACCGAGAAATGACGAGCGTCTTAGGACGAAGAGGCCATTCCAGGAGTCTATCGACATGGAGAATAGCAACGAGTCAACAGTTGAAGACTTGCTGATCCTGGTGGCAAGTTTAGAGATTCAGTGTACGGTATATCGTGAAAGTTTAATGGAGGCTCGAGGGGAGCATGCCGTCGCAGCGGCAGCAGAGTTGTGTAGGCAGCGCGGAGCTATATTCTCGGTGTAAGCATATGAATGCAAGCCAGTTTGTCAGTGTGTCGGACGGTGATATTTAAAAAAGTAGCTTGTGTGTGCGCAACCGCTGACAAGAATAACTTGAGGACTTGCTGGTCACGTATTGCGTGCCCATGATGCGTGAGCTCACCGACGTTTCCACCTTTTATAGACGACTACGAACACCACGAGCAGTCCATAGACAGCAGTGACAAGCTTCGTACTAAAGCCAGCGAACATGGAAATCGGGTTGTCCACGACGTGAATGTGGCTATTTCCGCTATTGTGTGTGTCACATGTCGCACGGCATGCCCCACAAGGACACTGCTTGTCGTCCACCGACTCGGATGCGATTGACTCCAACAACTGAGCCTGCGTCGGCAGCGTCTCGCGCCTCGTCACAATCTCGGAATAATTCGAGCATTTCAGCACACTGGCGTCAAATGACTTGTCTTTGCTCGCGTTAAACTGCAGGGTCATGTACTCGCCATGACCCACCGCTCCAACTTACATCTGGTAATTGAGAAACCCAAGCGACGACTTCATGGCCGCAGCCATTGACGCCATTGCCGTGTTCTTGCACGAATCGAAAACGGCACATGTAAAGTCCTTGTCCAGTGCCACAATGAGCTCCAGCACTTTGACTCGTTCGTTGCCTGTCAGTGGATCTGGGCGGTACGTCGTACTTGGCCACGCATGGGCCAGTTGCATGAACTCATCTTGCTCCGGCGAGCACACGAGACCGCACCACAGCTCCATGAGGTTTGCAGCACAGGCGTCACAGCCACCGACACTGTTTTTGGCAAAGACACTGGCCAGCAGCTTGAAATTCTCTGCCATAGCTTCATTCTGCTGCCACGAACAACAGGCACTGGCCATGTACGTGGGGCACTGAATAGCAAACTGGTCGCAAAACGAACCAGCAGTCATGCCGTCTTGGCGACAGACACAGCCACCGTCAAGACATTGGCCCTTGTCATTACAGTCGGTGTCATGAGTACATTTACCGCCACCGACAGCACGCGGCCAGTTACCTCCTGTCATCTGGTTTTTGTCAAAATATCGAAAGGTTCCAAAAAGGTCAAAAAGGTCCAAAGAGGTCAAAAAGGTCAAAAATAATATAGCCATGCTGTATTTGACAACTGACCGGTTGCGGATCCTGCGGCTCTTTGTGCGCTTCGGGGATGCACTCGTCGTAGTCAGGCACATTGTCGGGATTCACACATGTTTGCGTCATGATACACCTGCCTTCAACGGCCGCTGCTGTCAACATTAGCAGCACGAGCACCTCAGTGAGTTGTCTGCACGTCGCCATCACGTCGCTTTGTTTTTGACACGCTTGTTAACAACTCGCTCGTCCAAAAGCGGTACGGATCGTCAGGAACCGGTTTTGTTGGGGCGGTCTGCCAAAACGGAAAACGTTTAAACCGGTTTTGATGGGGATGTCGGCCAAAACGAATGGCGAGTGTTTACTAATTTAGGACCTGTCACGTCGCGGTGGTCCACCCCAACTCACTCCCTTGACATGAAAAGCCGTCACCGTAATTGTTTCGTAGCTGATCGCCACGTTCGCATAGTAAAGTTATTTTTTGAGAGCAGGAGTTACGACAGCTGCAGGTTTCTGTGAGCGTTTTCCCAGGAGCTTACCCCAGTACTGCTACCCCCACAAGCCCTTCCACACACGTGGTACTAGGATCTCCCGATCTTGTGTAGTTCGACCCCAAATGGGTCTGAACTGCAATGCACCGTATCGCAAAGATGGCCGAAAACCTACATTGACTCATCAATCTGCGCTGCCTATCTGGGTCGACACAATCAATAATGGGGCAAAAGGTTTGTAAACATTCTTTGGAGTGATTCGATCACGGCTGTGACTGGTAGTGTAAGCGTAAAACTTACATAAATGCTCGTGGACAAGCACCCTTACCAATGACACCTACATTTCTGCTATCATAGTTTGCACGCTGTGTGCGCTAGAACTATGCAAAGCCTCTGATCAGGGATATTCAACAAACACTCGTAAGGTTTTGAATCATTCAGCGTAATTAAGCATCCATTTCTAGAAAACATCCTCCGTGTATTCGTCACTTCCCAGCACTCTATTTACCGAGTAGTGCCTCTTACCTTTGTCTTGTGTGACCTATGCATCTTTAAGCATACTGCAACACCTTGGCCTCAAATCAGTCAGTTACCGGATTCTTCTACATTAAAGCCGAGAAGTGCATCGAAGTTACATTTGGCTGGTGATTATTTTTCTGATTGAGGTAGCAAATTCACGGTAGTGCTTGGCACCGCTCTTATCAATAACTATGAGGTAGCTTACCGGAATGATCAACACAATGAAATAACTTGAGTTAGATGGATCGATTGATTGGAATTACTTGATCTGGATAATTGTTGTTTAGTCCTATGCAGCCTTGCCTTCTCATCACTTGGAAGACGACCATGTCATCGCAGGAGATACTCGCGGAAGCTAATCAACTACTGCAGAGGTCATTATTCCAAAAATTACCAGTGGCGCTTTCTCGTGCAAACGGTCGAAGGAGCGTTGGTGCAATTGGTTCCGACACACTATTTTGGGTCAGGTCTCCAAACATCAATTCGAAAAAGACACTAGCAAAAGCAACCGTGCTCGTACCGAGAAAAAAACCCAATCAGTACTTGGTGTGAAAGTCGGACAAGGTTTACGGCTCACCGACAGTGAGTACACCTTCCCTTTTCGCTGCAGCTCCTAAGCCCGTCCCTATCAGCATAACCGATACGAACCTAACAACTCGATGCAACATCATCGATCAGGCTGCGATTTACACTCGCGGTATCGGATCTCCAGCTGCACGCCATAGTGAAAGCCACACTGACACTACAACACACCTCCTAATAGTCACAGTCACCCCCCACCGTCCTCGACTGCAACCGTTAAAGCCCTCTATCTCCCGCTCGCAACTGTAAAAAAGTCACCGTATCCCCCTCCTCTCGCCACCACTCGCCTTAACCCCGCTGCATCCCCCTCCATGGGGCAGCACTTTCTCTTCCACCGGGACCTCGTGGCCGCCACGGCCGTGCACCACGCAGTGACCGCCCGTCTGTCCAATGACCTTCACTCCGACCTCGTGGTCCTCGGTCCGCAGTGGCTGCGCATCTACCGCGTCGAGCCTCTACCGCCCGCAACGGACGCAATCGAAGCGTCTACGAAAGGCCACGTCCTGCACCTCCTCGTCTCCTTTCCCTTGGCAGGCGTCGTCGAGAGCGTCCACGTGCTGCGGTTCGACCGCGCTCTATTGAGGAAGAAACACCGGTTCGTCGGGGGCGACGACGTGCTGCTCCTCACGTTGCCACGCCTGAAGTGGGTGCTCATTGGCTATGACCGGCGGTCCCGAAGTCTCGCGACGCTCGCGATGTTTTCCTTTGAAGAGGACGCGATTGGACCAGGCGCGACGTTAAAAGGCGAGAAACAAGGACGGGAACAGATGCTGGGACTCGGCACGCAAGCACTGGCGAGGGTCGACCCGCAGACGAGATGTGGCGCCATGCTCGTGTACTCGGACCAGCTGGTGATTGTGCCGTTTCGGACCGAGTCCATGGAGCTTTCGTTCTTTGAAGAAGACGAGGACGACGTGGACGAGCACGAGCAGCAGGCCATGACGGATTCTGACAATGAGGAGGACGAGGATGAAGAGGAGATGAAATTGCAAGAGATGGTGAATGAAAGCAGGCAGCGAGGCGTCACGAGTGATGTGAGCGGCACACTTCAAGCTTTGCTGGACAAGAGTGTGAAGGTCGGTGCCAAGCGCAAACGTAATCACTTGAGTGGACTCATGCCAAACGAGATTGCTGGAAGAGAGTTTCTATTGCGGCTACGAGAGCTGGAGATTACGGGAAAAGTTATCGATCTAGCGTTCCTTGATGGGTACTTGGAACCGACGCTCATGGTGCTGCACGAGGAAAATGAGAGGAATTCGACCTCCGGACGTCTGGCTGTAGGATTCGATACGTACTGTCTTACAGTCATGTCGATCAATATGAACACAAGGTACAATTGGTGTGTTTGTAGAAGGGTGTGGTGGTGTAACTAATTGTGTCGGCTTTCGTGACGTGTGAACTGCTAGACTCCACCCGAAGATTTGGACTGTGAAAAATCTTCCATCCGATTGCTTCCGCTTGATTCCGTGCCGTGCACCGCTTGGTGGCGTGGTGGTCTTATCAGCGAATGCTTTTCTGTATTTCAACCAAACGCAGTTCCATGGCCTTGCCACAAATGTGTTTGCGACGAAAACGGTGAACCAGTCAGTTTTTCCACTCTGCGACGCTGTGTACAAAACGCCAGAGCACGATATTGCACCGCTTAACATCGTGCTCTATGATTGTCAGTTCGAGTACTTGCGCGAAAAAGAGCTACTGCTAAATATGCCGAGTGGGGAGGTATACGTGCTCTCGTTACCACACGATGAGCCATCAAATCGTGGTCTGTACGGTTTTGGTAGCGTATCTTCGAGTCGAAAAGCGTCGCTATCGCTGCGAATGCTTCAGTCTAATATCGTAGCAAATTGTTTGTGTATCGACGAGGAGAAACAGACATTATTCGTGGGCTCAAGGTCAGGTGACTCAGTGCTTTACTCTCTGGACAAAAAGAAGCTAGCTCAAGCTGAAGGCGAAGGACTAGGGCAAAAAGAAGCGCCGATAAAGGAAGAGGTACCGGGAAATGATGTGACTTTAGATGGTAAGCATGAGCCGGCTGAAGAGGAGGAAGAGGATGACGACGACCTGTTCTTATACGGAGCAGCGCCGTCAAAGGAAGCTCAGGTAGCAGCAACGGATCCGGCAGAGATCAAAAATGAAGCCGGCGGGTCTCATGTGACGAAAGGGCCAAATGGTACCTCCACAATCGAAGAAAATGGTCCTTATGAGTATGAGCTTCGGCAGGTTGATGTTCTGCCTGGCATCGGACAGATCACCTCAATTGAGCTGGGTGTCGCAAGTAGCGGAGACTCAAATGAAAAACGAGAGGAGCTTGTGATTAGTGGTGGTTACGAGCGCAGTGGTGGTATCTCGGTGCTGCACAACGGTTTGCGCCCCATTGTTGGTACTGAGGCAGAACTAAGCGGCTGTAGGGCGATGTGGACGGTATCGTCTTCACTGCCTTCTGCGACTACTAGCATTGACGGGCGTAGCTATAGTGCATATCTCATCTTGAGCGTTGCTCATCGAACGCTTGTGCTTCGAACAGGTGAAGGCATGGAGCCACTGGAGGATGACAGTGGTTTTTACACCTCCGGTCCAACTCTTGCTGCAGCAAATTTGTTCAGCAAGCAGCGCATCGTTCAAATATTCAAGCAAGGTGCACGCGTGATGATGGAAATAGCTGAAGGAAAAGAGTCACGTGATCAAGATCAAGCTGCAAGTGCTGATGAAGATGACGAAGACTGCCCGAGCGTCAAGCTCGTTTGCACACAGGAGATAACTTTAGAAGGTGATATCGAGTGCGGAGGGATGAATGTCGATACTTCGAGCGTAGGAATCGTGTCCGTGGACGTTGTTGACCCGTACATTCTTTTACTTCTGACTGACGGCTCAGTTCGGCTACTGGTGGGCGATGACGAAGACATGGAGCTGACGGTGATTGATCCTGAGATCGATTATTTTGATGGTATCGTTGACGCAAATGGAGCCGCGGATACGTCCAAGCACGGGAGCAGCTCCGCGTGTCTCTTTTACGACTGGGCTGGTATGTTCCGTGATGTTGTGTGGGACGAAGACGATGTCGAAGAAACGAACGTTTCGGCTGCAAATGAAGTGAAAAAAGAAAAAAACGATGAAGAGGATGACATGGACGCATTGTATAGTACCAAATTAAGTCCAAGAGCAACTACGACCGACCGTAGTAACAAACCAGACGTGGTGCTGGGCCAAGAATGGCAGACAAACGCTGATGGATCCGTGTCGATACCGCTGCTGAAGCAGAAAGATGCAAAGATGATGTGTGGCATGTGCTTTGGTGACGGTTCTCTGCGTGTCTTTTCCCTCCCGCATTTTGAGAAGAGAGGTGTGTTTCCGTACCTTACCTTTGCACCTCAGTCCTTAGTGAATACGATTGGACACCACCGGGGCAGCAAAGACAAAATAACTGCTCCGGCTCTTGGTCTTAATGCGTCGACATCTATCGCAAATGACGGCCGCATCAAGAAGTCGCACACCATTCATTCACCGGTGGCTGACATCATCATTCATCGGGTTGGCCCAAGCGAAGGTCAGCACAACGCTCAATATTTATCTCAAATGGTGATGCTAGTGTTCTTGGCGAACGGCGACTTGCTCACGTATGTCGCGATACCCAAGGATGAGAGTATAAAGCGACAAGCTGACAATGAAGAAGTCGTCCCCGTGTATAGCTTTGTTCGCGCGGAAACCGATATCATCACGCGACCGTTCCTTCCTACACGGTCTCGCACCAATGCTCACAGTGAGCCTAGTAGCAATTCGGAGATCAATGTCAGCTCGGTGCTAGCTAAGCTTCGCGCCGGTTTCCGGTATCCTATGCTGACAAACTTTGCGAATGTCAACAATATGAGTGGCGCATTTTTTCGGGGAGCTCATCCGATGTGGATCTTGGGTGACCGTGGCCAACCGACATTTGTCCCGATGTGCGTCGCCGAATCCACGCCTCCAATTCCGCGCGCAAATGATGCATCAAACCGAAATGCGGTCCCTCGAGTGAGCGTGCCAGTCTTGAGTATTACTCCGTTTCATCATTGGAACTGTCCCAATGGGTTCATTTACTTTCATTCACGCGGGGCGTTACGCGTGTGTGAACTCCCCTCGAGTAAGACTTCGACGATTCTTCCCTCGAGCGGTGGATTTGTGCTACAGAAGGCAGAGTTTGGGGCTACCCTGCATCATATGTTGTATCTTGGCAACCGTGGTCCCGGTGGTGTCGCAGAGGCTCTAATAACGCCCACATATGCCGTTGTCTGCAGCATGAAAATGAAGCCAACCGATGCAAAATCCGCAACGGAAGTGTTTGGGGATTTAGAGGAAGAGGAAGAGCCTGAAAATCTGGATGCAAACGGAAATCCTGTTGCAAGTAACGTGATGGCACCGACAGCAGAGATGTTTCCTGATTACGAAATCGACGAAATGCCACAAACGGAGGAGGACGTGTACGAGCTTCGTTTGGTCCAGACGAATGAGTTTGGTGAGTGGGGACGCAGTGGAGTATTCCGTGTGTACTTCGAGCGGCATGAGGTTGTGCTGAGCGTGAAACTTATGTACCTGTATGACTCGTCGTTGATGAAAGAAGAATTGTATTCGACATCGCTCGAGTGGAACAGGAGAAAACGACCGTACATTGTGGTTGGCACCGGTTGGGTTGGCCCACACGGCGAAGACGAAAGTGGGCGCGGTCGGTTGTTACTATATGAGCTTGATTACGCGCAGTATGTGAATGAAGAAGGCGGTAGTACGAGTAGAAAGCTACCCAAGTTGCGGCTAGTGTTCATAAAAGAACATCGGCAGGGAGCAATTTCAATGGTGACGCAGCTCGGACCGTATGTGTTGGCTGCCGTCGGATCGAAATTGATCGTGTATGAATTCAAGTCGGAGCAACTTGTTGGGTGTGCATTCTACGACGCGCAAATGTTTATTGTGACGCTCAATGTCGTGAAGGACTTTATCATGTATGGCGATGTATACAAAAGCGTACACTTCTTACGTTGGAGGGAGGATCAACGCCAGCTTCTGCTATTGGCGAAGGACTACGAGCCTTTGGCTGTTTCTGCTACTGAATTTAGCGTGTTCGAGAAAAAATTAGCGCTACTGGCGGTAGACATGGACGACAATTTGCACGTGATGCAGTTTGCTCCTCGGGATATCGAGTCCCGCGGTGGACAGAGACTTCTACGTGTTAGTGACTTCCACTTGGGCGTGCAGGTTGCAAGCATGTTCCGCAAACGGGTCAATGACTCCAGCTCTGTGCCTCCTACAAAGGGTCGCACAGCAGCTCCACCTCCTTGCTACGTCAATATCATGGGCACCTCAGAAGGCGGAGTTGGCGCACTGATCCCTGTTAGTGAGCGAGCATTCCGCCGTCTGTTTACGCTGCAGAACGTGATGGTTAACACGCTACCGCAAAACTGCGCATTGAATCCACGCGAATTTCGCATGCTGAAGACGAACACGCAGCGACGATGCGGAAGACCCGATGCATGGAGTAAGAAAAAGTGGAAGAAGAGCTTTTTGGACGCCTTCGTGCTATTCCGTTTTCTGGCGCTCGACTACGTGGCCCAAAAGGAGCTAGCGCGGTGCATCGGTACCACACCCGAAGATGTCATGCACACCTTGCTGGAAATCCAGCACGCGACGGCGACTTTTTTGTAAGTTTCTCTCTCTTTCAGATGCCATAGTCGGAAAATGGCACAAGTGTCACCGGAAAATCTTCCACAAAGATCTCCATCAAGTTTTGCGGAAGGTTCAAGTCAGTGTACACCTCGTACGTTTCTTGTCGTGCTTTTGCCACCGTTCGTGACATCTGTGACAAACGTGGCGTTTGAGATCGACCCAGCTACTATTTTGTGCTCCTAGACGTGTTTCGTGAGCCGTGAGATCCACATCTTTGCGCTTTTGCGCCCACAACGTGATGGCGTTGACGTATGTATCGAGTACCGGCACAGGGCACCGCAACGAAAACCACTAGTACCCGAGCCTCGTACCTGCGGGTTCGAAACTGTTGATATAGTCGCGCGGCTCCCAAGCTCGTAACAGCTAATCCAACGCAGCAGATCGCTTTTTATCTATGTGGCGTAGACAAGGCTTCACCAGTCTACGGATTCGTTACGACGTGGTCTTCTCGAAATGTCGAAGATCCGCTGCCCAAACGAAACAGTACGAATGTACATCTGCTCCTACTTGCTGCTTGAGTTGTATGTACGAGGCAGTATGATGCATGACTCGACAGAGGGCAAACCTTGACTGGAAGGACGCTGAATCCAATTGTATCTGCTGCTACATCATAACACAACGACTTCGTGCCGAGGAGTCGACTTCAAATGCGGCACCTCTTATTTTCATGGACATCCACGCTACCTTCGCAATCAAATGTCGTAATGCAGTCGGTAGTCTGCGTATTTGTAGTTTTGTAGTGTCATAGCTTCCGTCTGAGGTAGGCAAACGCAATGCAGGTGGCGTTAAGTACTAGATTCGAATACAGTGCAGGTCACTTGTAAATCAGCAGCTAAAACACTCTAAGCTTCCTTGTGAACTTGCCTCCCGAAACTGCACTAATCGTTTAGAAGTCTCAATACATTGAAAGCTGAGAAGCTACTGAGCAGTTCTATAAAATCGGATTTCATAGATTTTCATTTTCCATAGAGCAGCCCCTCCTCAACGTTCGGCAAATGTGAGTATTTTTGTATGGGCGAGGAAAAATTTGGCCAAGGATAAAATTTAAAAATTAAATTTGATAAGGATAAAATTTAAAAATTAAATTTAATTAATTGACTAATTATAATCTAATTGAGATTAATTGAAAAATCCAAATTGTCTGAAAAAATCGCGTTAATCGAGGTCCGTGGCTGGTATGCGCCAGCGTGTACGGTACTTCTTGACGGCAAATTCTGCAGCTGTTCCCAAGATACCTTTCTGATTGGCATGAATCGCTGCGCTTTACGGGCATACGGTCGGATATCTGTTATGCTGATAGAGTCCAGGGCTTTTAGCAGCGTTTCTTGTAGACCATGCCACGTGTAGTCGTAATGCGTCCTGCCATACCGCTTTGCCGCACCAGAAATATTCGATAAATTGAGTTCTGGATGTAATTTTGGGTAAAAGATGACTTGGTGGCCTTTTCCAACGATGAGCTCCTCAAGCATTCCGACCTCACCAATAAAGTCAGGTTGTTTGGCCACGATGGGACGGCCGCAGCACATCCTCGAGTCCTTACACTCATCTTTGTTTACAAGTCGCATCCCGTTTCTCCACAGAGCACGTTCTTGTGGCACGATTTCCAGTCCTTTTGGCTGTCCTTTAAGAGTCGGATAAGGTTGGGCCTGCGGGAAGCACGTATGTATCGATCTGCCCGTCTTCACCAAACGTTGTTGTCCTGTGTAGCAAATAATTCAGTTAGCATACCGTACGGTAGCTAATTGTCACTGAATAAAACAACAGGCCAGATGTGAAACTTACCGCATTTTTGGCTGCTTTCCCCCATGCGAAAGGTTCATCTTGTTTGCAATTAGGGCGTCAAACGCAAAAGTGGCATGGCTGGTGGCATGTAAAATGCAAAAGGTGCCTGTGCACCTGAAAATCGGCGTTTAAAAATGGGTATTTCCCGACCTCTTACTTGCATTACCAGGTCTTCGGCTGTACACCATACACCGTAGTTTCATCCGGGTTTGATGACCACGCAAGCCTTCCTTGAGAACCCTCCAGGTAGGTCTATGTCGTTGACCTCGAGTAGCCAATCGCCCACCAACGTCCGTTATAAAATCGACTGACATGAAGCGATCGTCCGAGCTCCTTTATTCCGTAGTGGTTGATCTCCATCTGGAAACTAGAGCCGCCGTTATCCACCAAAGGCCGTAAAGGTGCTCTTATCATGGGTGACCAAGATTAAAGGTTGCCCTTCTGGATGTGTGATGTTCAATCATCATGTCACCACTAAACTAAGGTTTTTGTGACTCAAAGTCTGCCTTTTGCTCCCCAGATACTTTTTAATATGCCACAACGTCGTCGCGCTCTTGGCACGTCCATAAAGAAGGCCTTTCTGAATCCACGGTTGCCCCCCAAAGCCTTTCAACTAGCGAATGAAGGTGCTCTCTGAAATTGTCGGGGATGGGGCATATCCAAGCTTCGGCGACACTTTATAGTCGATATAGCCCACCAGTGTACGCAAGCTTACATTACATTTTTGTTTATGAAGGAAGGTCTGTACATCATTAGAGACATACTCGTCTCACATGAATGACCAGCGTTTTGATTGCCTTCTTGGCGGGTATGCAGACTTCGCTAGCGGCTATCCTTGATCTTCCGTTCTGAACAAGCCGCATGTACGCCAACATGGCCGAGCTACGGGCTCCTTGAACCTTAGAACTTCCTTTACACTGCTGCTTCAACTTATCTAAGGCTCTTTGCAGCACGGCAGCATCCTCTTAGGCAGTAGAAGTGTCAGATTCTTCCTCAGGGTCTTCTGCTTTCGCTTCCCTCTCCAGCGTCATCTTGTATCTCGACTTCCGCGCTTTGATTTGATTGCTCGATAGCTGATCAACGGCCGTGCTCTTGTAGCTGCCTGCTTCTGCCACAGCTTCTGCCGACGCCGCGTTCTGCCCGAGTTCGCATAAGTAAATTGACGGCCGTCCTTTCTTAAGCGCAAGATTCTGTAAGCGCAGAGTGACTTCGGCTGTCCGGTCTTCAGTGACTCCTTCGCTGTCACTAACCTGAAGTTCCTCCTTAGCCTTTTGAGGTTGCTGAACTTGTCGTCTTCGGTTTCAGAACCGCTGCTGAAGGCTGACTGTTCGATTTCCGAGGGGACGCTTGCCAGAGCTTGCAGACGTTTTGCTTCGCGTGCATCGTTTTTTTGCTCACCGCGCTTGTTGGCAGGAGGCATTGAATCATTGTGGTCGGTCGGTGGTTGAAAAGCGTTGTCGACTCACGCCTGTGCACACATGCAGACTGCAGTACAACTAATGTATCTGTGTCATAACTCAATCGAGTATTTTATCACCACTCAATGAACAGATACATCATAACTCCTAACAAAATAAACAAAGTTTTTAAAAGTACTCATTTGAGGTACAACAGTCAGGTAAATTCACGTGATCGTTCACCTGCCGAAAATGAAAACTCTTCATTTTTGCTTACAATTTTTAGGGGCAAATTTTAGCCACATTTTGTAGTTGTTGCTGGTCATAAGTGACTTGCACTGACCTCACTTTTGGTGTTAAGACTATGTAAAAGCAAGCGGTTTTTCGGCAAGGTGACATTATAAACAGCATTCTCCAGACCGAGAAAGGACGCTGCCAATTTTACTTGGTTTGATGAAATATGGGAACGTGGCCTGTCGTGGAGCAGACGGTCGCGCAGCGGATCAGCAAGAATCGCCCTAATTGTAAGTTAATAAACTCAAGCCTAGACTAGCCGTGAGGAGAGCGGAAAACTTTGACATGTTTCGTCAATTTACTTCCTGCATCGCCACAAGTTTCCGTATCGTAGCCAGCGCGGAGCTATGTACTGACAACAGAACGATGCGCAGCCACATTTCAAGGAAGATGGACCGCTCGTGAGTGAGGCGAACCGTCAGTTGCGCTATGACCTTTCCTGTATTGTGCCAGCCTCATGATAGCCCGGACTTGAGCGTGCTGGACTTAGGCTAAATTGGATATATTCAGACTCTACAACACGGAGTGGCGCTCGCAGCTACGAAGAATTGGTAGACTCAGTCGAAGAGTCTTCTATGGATCTTGAGATTTAAATAGACGCGTTTCTTTTGTTACTATTGTGTATGACTGCAGCACTAAACGACAATGGCGGAAATGCCGATGATCTACCACAATGAAGGATCACCGCCCATCTTTGACATGTAGATTACCCGGTCGCTTAGTTGACATCTCCTAGAACTTTTGTGAAATGGCACGTTGTCTTCATCTAAAAAAAGTGATAGTTGTCACTTTTCTCTTATCTTTGATAAATTAATCTTGACAAAATGGACACATTTGCGAGACAAACCTCGCTCGTTTTATAATCAAGAGAATAAAAAGATGGAAATTAGAGAAGAAGAAAAAAAAAAAAAAAAAAAACATTTATTTTTTAAACAAAAAAAAAAAAAAAAACAAAAAAAAAAAAAAAAAAAAAAAAATTTTTTTTTTAATTTATAAATAAAAAAAAAAAAAAAAAAATTTTTATAAAAAAAAAAAATTTTTTTTTTTTTTAAAATAATTTTTTTTTTTTTTTTTTTTTTTTTTTTATTTTAAAAAAAAAAAAAAAAAAAAATAAAAAAAAAAAATCGTACAACAAGCTTACACGCAGTGTCAAACACACCCAAGTATAATTTTTTAGGGATATTGTTTGAACGACATATAAATCGAAGCGACTCGGGTCAAATAGCCAGAGGCGCATGTTTAGCTTTGCCTGTGCACACCTGATTAACACTAAAAATGGTCAGAGAATATCTTTCTGATAGTTTTCTTACTCGAAATCAGGGCGAAGCCTTTCCGTCGTGTAGATGACAATGAAGAAGCGGATCCTTCAGCACTTCTTTGGGCGCATTAGCTCATTAGACAAGGACTTGAGCTTTGTGCGGTTCGGTGTGATCTGCAGGGATTGTTTCTGATCGACCTATGGTGCGAAAACAAGCGCCCACTGGTGACCAAGTTAAACCATTAACC